AATTCTTGTCAAATAGTATATTTTCTTTTGAAAACTCACTGCCATCGAGTCTACTCTGACTCATAGTAACCGTCTAGGTCAGGATGAAACTGCCCGTGTGGGTTTCCAAGACTGCGACTGTTTACAGGAGTAGCAAGCCATATACATAAAATCTGATACCTGTGCACGATGTGGCAATTAGTCATGTTCAACATGAGTCACTTCTAACCTATGGCTATTCATGTACATATTTTATCCTCAGATGCAGTCTATGTGCTCTCGTGGTGCAGTTACACCAATTCTGAATTGCATATAATAACTAGGACATGATGTGAACTGTAGGTTCTGTAGCACACTTTAAAGCAACATCTGGCAAATGCTCTTGAACATCATGAATGAAAAAGAGAGATGGCACTGAGGTGTTTGCCTCTAAATTACTATGTCAGCTTCACACAGACACAGATGGTAGACATACATACACTGTCTGAAGTAGAATTCTGTTGCTCTCATTCTTGTTTTTTAAGTTCCATGAAAGATTAAATATATTTTGAAAAGGACAATTTGCAGTGGTGCTATCCAAAGCAACACCTTAATGATATTTCGAGATGTTTGAGACGCTACATCCTATGAGAAAGGAAAACATATCCTCCCACGGAGTGCTTTCATCAAGAAATGCATGCCATTAAACAAAGTCTTGTAAAATCTTTTTTTTTTCATTTCTAAGGCATGCTCAAGTCAAATGAGGAACGACTGAGATGATCAGATAAATGATCATGTTCCCTGGAAAGTATATGTTAAAAAATGAAAGATGTTCTTCTTTAAAATGGCATGACAACTCCATTTTAATGCTCACTACATGTAACTACTTCTACTAACATTATTAGTTTCTGACCTATGCACTACTCATTCGTCTTTTAGTTGAACAAGATTCCATTTCTCTGAGAATTAAGAAATGTTTGCGAAATTATAACAATCTCTAGTTGGGAGTTGTAATTTTCTGGTAGCCATCAAATCTGATTCATAGGTGGCTAGAACTAAGTGTTCTTCAATATATTTCAACAATTTTCATGAAAGCACCCTGACCAGTACATGAGTTTGAGGTCTTTAACCCATATGAGCACTCCAAAGAAAGTTCCTTAGAAGCCTCTGTTCTTGATACAACCTCCAATTACATGTTTATACTTCCGGTTAAATGAACTTTAATACAATCTTATTCAAAATAAAGATGATTCATGCATCTTTTTCCCCTTCCACAGACCAAAGGTCTAAAAACAGAGAGTTGCGTAACCGTTCATCTCTTTTGGAGGGATTCGTTCTCTTTCCAGCCAAAAACCAGCGTTGTTTTCTGCTGGAATCTTGTTTTCCCTTATCAACTCTTACTGTTCCGTCTCTAAGTACTTATGAGCTGGGCTGCTAGCTGCAAGGTCAGCAGTTTGAAACCATCAGCTGCTCCTTGGGAACATTGGTGTCACCAAACATATCTTCAACAGGTACTCTGCTAGCTCATCCTTCTGTAAAGAGTCCATCTAGGTTTATAAAAATAAGAACTCCCCACCAGATGTGCATCACAAGGACCTAAGGAGCTCCATGGGAAGATATGTCACTGGATGTCTCGCACCATCCTATCTCCTGGTGGCACAATAGGTTGGTCACAGGGCTGCTAACCACCAAGATTGTGGTTCAAACCCACCGGAAGCTCCTTGGGAGAAAGATGCGGCTGTCCTAGAGGACCGCTGTGACGAGAGGAGCCTGGGGGGTGAAGTGGCCGTGCCTTGGGCTGCTAATCACAAGGGGAGGCTTTCTACCTCTGTGAGAAAGTACGGGCTCAGGAACCCCCAGGGCAGCTCTGCCCCGCTCCACAGGCTTGCTGTGAGCGGGGATTGCGGTGAGTCAGACCTGCAGTAGGCGTGGCTTATATAAAGCAATTGACTGTGATTCACGGAGACTCGCGTGAAGTGTTCAATATGAGAGTTCCGTGTACGACAGCTTGAATCTTGCTCAATAGGTTTTATAGCATTAGGATTTGGTCAACTAACTACAAATTTAAGGGATCCACCTGAACCGTGGCTTGGGCTGTCACGACTTAAAGAGGGTGGTGCTGAAGACATGGCTGTCAAAGCCCCACCGCAATCTGAAGGCCAGTTGTCCACCTCAGCTGACAACTCCTAGCAGCAATCAGCTATCTGTGCCTCTGTTTTCGCATCTATCGAATCAGGATCAAAACCGGAGCCGTCTCATAGGAATTCCGTGAGGATGGAATAAAGTATGAATGCACTCAGCATAGAGCTGCTCACAAGTGTTAGCTACTGTTTTTATCCGGGGCAATTACTAAATAGATCAGTTAAAATTGTGAGATGATTTTAAGCTGAATGTTTCTTTGCTTTCAAATCTCCAAATCTCCTTCGAGTATAAGTCATGCTTATAAGGAATAACAGGTCTCAGGTCCTCGTTTCTCTCGTGTCTGTCAATTCCATTAATCAAGTCGCCAACTTCTTTATAAGTACCCTCTTTATAAATTGGCCACTACTTGTAATAATCACTTGGATAAATGCATCCAGACAAATAATTCAATTAGAAATTTTCACTTTTAAGACAAACTATTCAACTTCTTAAATATCAAAGAAAATATCAGAGATCTAATTATGTACTTACGTTGCCAAAACATATTGGGTGCTTTGGACATGTTAAGAGAGACTAGTCCCTGGAGATGGATTATGCTTGGGACAGGAGAGGGGCAGCGAAAAAGCGGGAGGTCCTCAACCAGCTGGGTTGGCCCCGTGGCTGCAACAATGAGCTCAAACATCAGAACAATCGTGATGACGCCTCACCCTGGCAGTGTTGCTTCTGTGGTACCTAAGGTCGCTATGGGTGATGTGACAGCCCCTAGCAACAACATTGTAAAAATTCTTGTCAAATAGTATATTTTCTTTTGAAAACTCACTGCCATCGAGTCTACTCTGACTCATAGTAACCGTCTAGGTCAGGATGAAACTGCCCCTGTGGGTTTCCAAGACTGCGACTGTTTACAGGAGTAGCAAGCCATATCTTTCTCTAGAAAGCTGGTGGATTTGAACTGCTGCCCTTGTTATTAGCATCCCAATGCATAACCCGCTATGCCACCAGGACTCGGATTTTACTCCATTGTGGTTATTATATTTACATGATTCACCAAAATACTAACTAGGCAAAGAAGGAACCTTATTCTTAGTACCTTGCCAGTTTTGGAAGTAGGAAAAGGTCTATGCTTAGTAGGAGTCCTGATAGGTACCCTCTGTTAAGCATGTTAGCTCCTCTTAGTAAGGTCAGTGTTTCCAACCCACCAGGTGCTCTCCAGAATGGGGAGGCAGTCTGCTTCCACAAAGAATTTCGCCTCAGACCCTCCACGAGGCAGCTCTGCTCTGCCCTGTCGCGTGGCGCTAAGTCAAAATTCACTCAGCTGCGGTGGGTTTGGTTGGTTGGTTTGCCTTATTGTTTGTTTGGTTTTAGTTATATTTAGTCTGTGCCATATAAATGCCTCTTTCTAGCAAAAAGAAAAAGCTGGTTAACCCATGAAATCAATGCTGGCTTCTGTAGATTGTTTTTACAAAACATTTTCATTGTAACATTAGATAGCAGTCTTACTCTAATAATAACCTTTAGGCATGTCACAAATATATATATATAAATCAATGTTTCAGTGTTATATAATTTGTATTTCTCTCTAAGGGATGTTCATATATCCCCTCCCACTACCACCATCACAGCTACTTAACAAATCATCTACAGGAAGGATATTTCAGAGGTTAGGGGAGGTGAGAGGACTTAGCACAGATCATTCAGCAATGCGCTGTAAGTAGACCTCTGTGGGGAGTGTTTAATGATAGGGTGGGAATGGGAGTCTGCCAGAGAAGAAAGACAGGCTTTGATACTTTCAGCACGACATCATTTCCAGAAAACTGGGGGTAGATCAGCCTGGCATTCACCCTGCAGTACTATAAGACCACAGCCAACTGACCCCGGCCAGTGAGAGCCCTGGTGAAGTCTGAGATGCCTGGAAGAGGGAACTGGGCAGGAGCTACTGCACAGGCCAGATCAAAAGCCCCGGCTCCTGGTCTGTTCTGGAGAATAGCGAGCCAGACTGAGGTGTAAACCACGCAGTGTGTGAGTAGCCACGTGTGTGTTCAGCCAGACGCATAACTCCCGGGAGAGGGGTATGTGCTCACATGAACTCACTGGAGATCTCAAACACGCCAATGTTCTCGGCATTGACATGGACGAAAGTTGACAGAACAATGGTGGGGAAGAGAATACCCCACTGAATTTCAAAACGTGCTCCGATTAGCCCCGCTGGTCTGTTCCAAAGCAAAAGCAAGCTCACTGCCATCAGGCCCATTACAACTCAAAGCACTCCTTCCTATAAGACACTGCAGCCTCTTGGGACTTCCAAGGCTATAAATCGTTAGAGGTGCAGAAAATCTCTTCTCTCTTGCAGTGCTGGTGGGTTTGAACTGCTGACCTATTAGGACACATGAAAAATACATTTGCATTTCTGCTACTAAGGCTTCTCAAGGTTGAGATTTGCAGAAAACATTGATCAAACTTGTGAGGAATGGTAGAGAACGTGTGAACTTATCTACAAAACTGAATTTAATGATGTAAAATGAAAGGGGGGAAAATGTATCTTTCGGTAAGTAGGTATAGTGTTAAAACTCCATTCCAAAACTATATTTATAACTTGTCATGGCACTTTTCTGAAAAATTTATAGTAGGCGAGAATTCACTTATTACCAATAAAGGCAGCTCGCAAGATTTATTATACTTTCAACTCATTTCAAGAAATGTTCTTGAGTATCTAGCTTACGGCAAGTCTGGTCAGGCCGGGAGCCTAGAGAGGGCGTAGTGAGACAGGGAGCTCCAAGATGAATCAGACACGTCCGGGGCTTTCTGGAGTGATGGCAGAGGCACAGGACGGGGCCCCAAGGGATCAAGGACTATGGGTATTAGACTAAGGAGCGCTCAGGTCTGTCTGAGTAATAGCGCCCAATCAGAGCCATTTTCATGGTAGAATGAACATTTCAATTCCACGTCAGAGGGCCGACGGGATGTTCACTCTGAAATGGAGACGAAAGCCTTCTATATTCTGGCTTTGAAGGTGCAGAGTACTTGGGAATCATTCAGGAGTACAGCTTGATTTGAACACAGCATCTAGGTAAGGCCTAAAGGCCAGAGCTGTTACCGGCATCACATGGTGGGCTTTGTCTTCTCATCAGTTGTTGCTGCTGCTGTTGGGTACCATCAAGTCGATGCCGACCTGGAGGGACCCTGTGCACAACAGAACGGGACGCTGCCCAAGCCTGTGCCGTCCTCACAACCGTGCTGGTGTGTGAGCCCCCATTGCAGCCGCTGTGTCAGTCCACCGCGCGGAGGGTCTGCCTCTTTTCCACTGCCGCTTTGCTTGACCAAGCAAAACAAAAGCGTCGAACAACGTCAACCTTTTCTCCATGGATCATGATGTTACCTGTCGGTCCAGTTGTGAGGATTTTGGTTTCCCTGACATTGAGCTGTCATCCACACCGAAGGCTGCCATCCTTGATCTTCCTCAGCAGGTGCTTCAAGTTCTCCTTGCTTGCGGCAAGCAAGGTGGGTTGATCTGCATACCGTAGGTTACTCACAACCCTTCCTCCAATCCGGAGGCCACATTCTTTTACATATAAGGCAACTTCTCTGATGATTTGCTCGGCATACAGATTGAATAAGGATTTAGTGCATCCACATCAACTCAGTTTTCAGAAGACAGCTCTCCCTCAGTTGTACTGTGGATGTCTTCCAGCCGCAGGACTCACCTTCTGGCACTATCGATGGCCGTGCTTCTTTTCACGAGGCTTTCAGCATCTAGGCTGTCCATAAGGTGTTCCACGGCTAATTCCTCATTAGTGTGCACCCGAGTCCCTCTCTGGAGTCTGTGTTGTTAGCCTGAAAGCTCTGTTGAAACCTGTTCATTAGGGTGAGCCTGCTGGCATTTGAAATACCAGTGACCTAGCTTCCAGCATCACAAAAACACGCAAGCCACCACAGTATGACAAAATGATAAGCCTAGTGGTGGCTTATTGTCAGTAGACAGCTATTAAAAGTACGTAAGTGGGAAAGAGAAGTGATCATGGAAACACAGAAGCTATATTCTGGAAGGACCACGGGGTAGTATATGTACAGACTGAAGGCACTATCATTCCCCATGGATTTTGGAATTGTGTTGGCATTTTTGTTTGTCTTAATGATGGAAGGAATGCCACTCATATTCAGCGGGTGAAGGTCATGAATGCCAGATGTCCTGCAATGCACAAGAACCCTAGAGAACAAAGAATTATCACAGCCAGTAGCCACAGGGAGAATCTGGGGGAGTAGAAAGCAAATCAGGAGATGACTGCAATAATCTAGGCAGTAGGTATTGGCCTCAGCCAAGTGGTAGAAACTGGAGTGGAAAGCCAGAGTCATATTTAGGAAACCTTGAAAAGGAAGAAGTGGGATCAACAGGTCCTGGTGGAGACCAGAAATGTGATGGGGGAACCATGTCAAGGCTTTGAGTCTCCATGACCAGAAGAATGATAAGAATTTGGGTTCTAGCAGAAATTCAAACATCAAAACATAATTCAGGTCCCTTTTCTCATCTACCTCTGATCACATGTTAGCATTAATTCATCCTTCTCCTACAGTTCTGTCTCCAGCTGATTGTTTATATATTTCATGGCACTTAGGTGGGACACGTTTACTCCAATGTGTGTTATTTAGGGGCTCAGTGCATGGTGCCGGCACACAGTGGGTGCTCAGTTAATATTCCTTTCATTATACAAATTTTCCCGTTCTATCAAATGAATAGAAGATGTAATGGTAAATTCCAGTGTTCTTTTCCTATATTACTGGATCTTTCCAGCCCCATCATAAAGCATCAGCACGATTTTATAAATGTGATCTCACTATAGCCTCACTGCTGACAACTAGTAAGGGAAACATGGAAATATTTTCATTAGAAAATGTTGCCTTCAGCAAAAGACAAGAGAAGAGTAAGTAAGGAGCTGGGTGGACATGAAGCATCATGAAGCGCAGGAGCCAGTTTCTTCAGCTGCAGAAAAACGTCAAGCAACTACTCCATCGAGGCCAGTTGATAAACATCTCTGAGACGTGGAAAATGCTACTCTTACACCACACAATATTGGGATATTTTACTTTCTTCAAGCACAAAAATTCCCTCAACCTGCTCAAAAAATGCTTTAAAATAAGTATTTCCAACTGGAAATGTTTCTTACTTGGAAATATTTAAGGTTTCTGAGGCTGTAAATCTTTACAGGAGCAGTTAGCCAGCCTCCTCTTTCTCCCATGAAGCAGCTAGTGGGTTTGAACTTCCAACTTAGCAGTTCGCAGTCCAACACTTACCCCACAGTGCCACCAGAGCTACCATATAACACAGTAATTCTTCTCCTAGGTATATACTCCTGTGACTCTAAAATAGATGTCCACTTAAAATATACACATGTTCATATAGCGTATTCACATTAGCCCCAAATTGGAAATAGTCCAAATAGCCATCACCTGATAAATGACTAAATAAACTGTGCCACAGCCAGACAATACAATACTCCTTAACAATTAAAAAATTAAGTATTGCCATTTGCTTCAATACAGATAAACCTTGAAAATATTAAAATAAAAAAGTCAGTCACACACACACACCATAAAAGAAAAATAAAAATTTCCATTTGCATTAAATTTCTAGGAAAGGTAAATCAATAGAGACAGAGAATGGACTAATGGAGTGTCACCCTGGGGGTGAAGGGGTTATGCGTCAAGCTGTGAACCAAAAGGTTGCCACTTAAAACCCCCAGCCATGCCATGGGCGGAAAACAGGGCTCTCTATTCCTGTGAACAGTTACAGTCTCAAACACGCACCGGGGTGCCTCTGCCCTGTCCTGTGGGGTGAGTGGGCGCCAGCATCAACTGGCTGCTAGTGAATTTGGTTTGGTTTTAAAGGGGTCAGGAAAATTGGGGAACGAGTGCACGTAAAGAGTTTCTTTTTCCAGCTCTAGAATTGTGGTTTTGGTTGTATAACTGTGAAAAAAACAAAAACTATGTGCACTTTACGTGAGGGAATTAGATGGCATGTGAATAAAATACAAAGTTGTGTGTGTTCTTTTTAAAATTGCACTACAATATTGTCTTCAGTGTGGAACGAGAGCAGACAGGAGCGTCATGCTTTGTTGAAGTGCTTCATTTTGTTTCCATTTTCCGAAAAGAAAACATCTTATCTAAATGACACTCCAATTTCAGTGGCTTCTCTGGATGAATGCATGCTCAAATACCAGAAGGCATTTGTGTAGGTAGATGGAAGGAAGGAAGGAAGGAAGGGAGGGACGGGGTGTGCAGCCGAGCCTTGCAAAGGCACCTGGGGCGGTTCTGCAGCAGAGAAATACTCACAGGGATGCCCCGGGGTCCTCTGGGGCCCACCTCTCCTGGCTGCCCCTGCTGGCCCTGTTAGAAAGAAGGTGGGTAGGGAAAAAGTTTACATTTTTAATCCTTTGTTGGGTGATGCCAGAGGGTTATAACTTAGGGGGAGGAAAAATGACTTCTTACTGGTTTTCCTGAATTTCCTAATTGGCCAGGTTTTCCGGGAGCACCTGTATTGCCCTAAAAGAGAAAAATACACATTCAAAGTACAAAGATAAGTCAAAAGGTACCACCACAAAATCACAGAAACCATTATTAAGCAAGTCTACACACTTCTAAAGAACTTCTGGAAATGGTGCTTCCGCCTCTCTAAAGCTTCCTTGAAAACCCCTGTGCTCTTTGATTGACACCACCGCAAAATGGCAGTATGGGCATCCGTGCAGAGCTCAAACTATGTTAGTTTCCAATGTTTTTGAGTTTGGGGGTACAAAAAGAAGCCTGCCGGGGCAAGATCACAGCTGTCAGGCAGTTAGGGTACGATTTCCCAACTCAGTCACCACAGGACAGCCCTGGTTATCGCTGAAGATGAAGAGTAAGCAGGTGTGTTGTTATCACAGGAAAAAAGTCCCTTGACACAACTTTCCTGATGTTTCTCTCACCACGGCAGTTCTCCGCTTTCCTAAAACATCTTTACATGAAGTCCCTGTGATCATCCTGTATCCTTGGAGGAAAGCGATCAAGATTACCCCTTGGGGACTCCCTACGACAGTCACCATAACCTTCTTAGAGGGCCTGGCTGCCTTGAATTAACCGCAGGAGCAGATCCCCCTCAGTAAGCACTATTTTGATTGAATTTTTGGTCTCTGGATCATGTAAATCCATTAGAGGATAATAGTTATCCAAAACTCATCCCCAGTTATCATTTGTTCCATAAAGTCATTTTCATTAGCTTTGAAATTGCTTAAAAACCAACGGGAAGATCAGCTTAGAGCCAGCTGATTGTGAGATCCCAACGTCAGCAGCTGATTGGGAGATCCTAACGTCAGCAGCTGATTGGGAGATCCCAACGTCAGCAGCTGATTGGGAGATCCCAACGTCAGCAGCTGATTGGGAGATCCCAACGTCAGCAGCTAATGCATCAATGGCAACCATCTCTTTCTGGACTGCAACCACTGGCTCTTCAGGTGTCGAGAGTTGGACTCATCTCTGACGTTCCTTAAAACACTTGATCTATCCCAAAACTATTATTTTATGGAGAGGGGTGGGGGAGGGGAGCATTTCTGTAAACCGGTTGCAAAGTTTCCATGATTTGGAATATGTCCATTTGGGTTTTGTTGAAATTTTGATATTAGCCCTGACCCCAAAGTTGTTTTTCTCCAATGCAAAATATGTATATTTTTTCTTGTTTTGTTTGTATATATTTTCTTTTTAAAATCCCTATTTTTAAGGTGCTCTAACAAGACTATAACAAGTACTTGACTGCTGGGTAGAACTTGTCTGGAGCCATCCACTGACTGCAGCCATGTTTAGACATGTGTTATGACTGCAGACATGTTTAGACATGTGTTGTGACTGCAGACATGCTTAGACATGTGTTGTGACTATAGACATGCTTAGACATGTGTTGTTTCCAGAAAACCTCCCCAAGGATGAACTCTAACCCCCGCAGCAGTTCTTTTTGACTTACCTTCAGAATTTAGACTGCAAGTAAATACACGCATCATGATACCCTGCCTTCCCCAGACCATTTCTGAGTTAAGTAAGACTTTCCTTATTTCACAATGAGGATCTGGAAGATGGAATCTCTTTTTCTGTGGCCGCATCAAAATCCTTCCAATTGAGAATACTATTGGATAGCCCTAGAACTACATGCAAGGTCAAATGTCAAAGAAGTAAGAATAGGGTCTTCAACGAGGTACTAAAGTCAAAGGCTTTTCTTTTTCTCACAGTAGTAATTGTGTGTCTCTTTCCTTTTTACCATCTCTACATCCAGTGGGCTTCTTTGAACGCTTTCCCCAAATCAACACTTTACAACTAGAGAAAAGTGGGTCAGCACAGAAGGGAGCAAGCTCTCCCAGCAAGCCGCGGGGAGAGGCATGTCTGAATATGTCATGTCCACCATCGATGCTCCCAGTCTGCTAATTAGGGATCTCTGTTCAAGAGATCAGAGGCCATCACCGTCAAGTTCACTGTGAGTTGAGGCCCTAAATCCGAGACTAATATCTACATTATTCATTTTTTTAGATAGCTTGTTCCAAAGTAAAGCTATATTTTGTTCCCTTGATATTTATTTCACCTGTTGCTTTTATTTCTTTACACTCTCAGTACAGGATATAAGCACTAACATCGGCGTGTTAAAAACCGCCTACTAAATTTTTATGTCAAGCTAACGCATCTAATCATATCTAATCATGCCTCACAAGCACCCTCCTCGTTGTCAGCGCAAAGGCACACGAAAGCTGCCTCTGTCCTGCACTGGCCGGGGGCGCGGTCATTACGGAAGTCTAATCAGCCACACTTTTGCACAGCATTTATTCTTCCTGCCGCTGAGCAAGAGTCACACTTTGAAGGTTTGAAACGTTGGCTCTTGATTCCTCCATAGGAGAAAATACCAAGCAAAAGGCCAGGTCGGATGGATTCAATATGATTAATAAAACCTATCAATACAAGAATGCAGAAGTAAAGAACAACATTGCTTTAAAAGTTTTCATCTTTTACCTTTTCACCAGCAATGCCCTTTGCACCAGGAATTCCAGGCACGCCCTAAAAAAATGCACAGAGTGGGGATTTATCATCCAGTCTGTGACTCCCCGAGACCCCCAGGCCGCCGACCCTGACTGCAAGAGTGACCGACCCCTGGGAACAGGATGATCTCAAGGCATCGGCAGGCCGGGCGGGGGTCTTCCTCACTCCCCGACTCTGGGCAGTCAGTTCCAGACCTACCCACATGTAGTGCGTCTGCCTTGTTAGCAAGGACTCTGTCGAACGAAGGTTATGTTTTACAAAGATGAACTCCCCATTTATAAACCTGTACCATTTCCAGGTTAACAGGGGCTCTTCCCCACAGCCCAGACACATCAGGTATGCGGTGTGCTTTCGAGTACAGGGCAACAAAAGAGGATCTGTGGAACACGGTGGACCTTATAGTGGAAAGGGGGCTGGCGGGTGAAGGCCGAGCCAATTTGGTACCATTGTTAGATATCATGATAAAGTGGAAGCTGAGTCCCCGTATCACCAAGTGTCCTTTGTTCACTTGAAGTAGCTGCCTTCAAAGAGCTGACAATGTGTCACAATTCACATGAGCGTCCAGCCACATTCATGCAGGGACACCCATGTGAAGACCGAGAGAGCAGCAGATGACTTCTCCACGGGATCTTCTAACTCACACTGTCCTAAGTGGGCCCTTACCCCTGCCGTGGCTCGACTCTGCTGCGAGAGAAGAGCTCCAGCAAGGGTCAAAACGGAGGCAAAGCGGATGACCCCAACTCACACAAGACTGAACAATGAACAGAGAGGTGGTTTACAACCGAATTTTAGCTTAACAGAGAAAAAGTTAAAATGTCATCTTTTTTAATTAAAAACAAAATGTTGCTGAGCCAATTCCAACGCATAGCTACCCAAGGGGATGGGGTAAAACTACGTCCCAGGGTTCCATCCAGCTGGAAGCTGGTTCAAACCACCAACCTGCTGTTAACTGCTGGGTGCTTACCCATTGCGTCACCAGGGATGCTTATCTGCACCCCTCGGAACGTATAATAGGTAACATGTCTCTCTTCCCTTAAATTCGTATTCTCAAAACATGTGTACAAAGCAATAAAAAGTCAAGTAGACAAATACTTACAGGTAACCCCTGTAATCCTGCATCGCCAGGGGGCCCATGCTTCCCCGGGTCACCCTGGAATAAAAGTTTCATCGCGTCAGAAAGGGAGGGGGACCGCGTCTGACATCCAGCTATCCTGACAGGCACTTTGTTGTGACTCAGTGGAGAGTAGGAACCAGACACAGAATATAAATGCAATTAAAATGCACAATTTCCCCCAGCCTACCTCATCAATGGGGTAATTTTACTGAGATCCTAAAGCTAAGCAAATGCATACATTATTCTAATAAGTATTTTGTATTGGGCACTTGATTTAAAATTTTACATTTTAAGATTTAAAAATTAACACAGAACAGCAAAAAAAAATCCCACCTCTGCCATCAAGTACAGGACTCACAGACCCTGTAGGACAGGTTAGAACTGCCCCTGAAGTAGTTGGTTAACATGTAATAGCTTATCATTTGACCTCCCTTTTAGCCTATTTTAAAGATGTTTCAGTTTTGTTTTGTTTTGTTGTTTTAAAAAGTGTAGGGGAAATACATGTGAAGTAAGCCCCTGGTGCATGCTCTCTGACCTCTGACAGGGATGTGAATAACAGCCTTGCTAACATGCAGAATGCATTGTTAGAGGATTGTTGCTAGTTACCCAGTTTGGTTAAAATTTAGCAGCCTATCATTTGATCTCCCTTATGATCCATTTACATTTGTTCTAGTTTTTAATATTTTCTACTTTCTTTTCTATTGAGGTTTTTATCTGTTTTGCTTTGTTAGTTTTTTGTTGTTGTTTGTTTGCTTGTTTTTAATGTTTTCCTAGATATAAAATCCAGGATAGGTAAATCTATGGACAGTAACTGGTTCCTTGGGAGAATGTAAGGGAGGCTGGAGGGAAATGAGCTAATAAGGATGAGTACAAGAATGAAGAAAATGTTCTAAAACTGATTGTACAACTCTTCTTGATGTGATTGAACCATTGGATTGTATCATATGTGAATTACATGCCAATAAAACTGTTGGTAAATTTTTAAGAAGACCTGCCCCTGGGGGTTTCCAAGAATGCCACTCTCTACAGGAGTAGAAAGCCTCATCTTTCTCCCAGAAACTGCCAAAGCCTGGCTAAATATATCTCTGTTAATTGAGAGATGGGAATGCTTTGCTCCCTTGAGTAGGGCCAAGACAGCTGCATCCACTTTCACTAAATCACACAGCTACCTTTGCGCCCGGCATCCCAGGAATCCCATCGCGACCGTCCACACCTGGCAGGCCCTAAAGACACAAAGAAGCGCACTGTGTCTTACAAATAGTCACATTCGACTTCCCTTCATGACTTTTCATAGTTTTGTTTCAAGTTAGTCTGAAGATTACAGTTCAGGATCATACCGTGTCTCCTTTGGGCCCCGGGACACCAGGAATTCCTCTGGAACCTTGTGCCCCCTGCAAGACAGAAGGAAAGACCAGAGGAGAAGCCCTTCAGGATCACAGAAGAGCGTAAGTCAAGCAGGTAAGTCGCTAACAGATGACACTGAGTAGCACGTTGCTAGTGGTGATGGAGACCAATTTGAACTCACTCTGTCTCCCTTGGGACCTGCTTCTCCTGGAGGTCCACGTCGTCCTTGGTCACCCTGTAGGAAAATAAAATATAAGTAGCTGTTACATATTTATTATTATTGTAATAAAATAACAAAGCACCATCCACATTACTGAATTACTTCCCATCCACCTACTGGATGCCTACCTCAGGAAATAATTCTATGAAAATTATATTGTCTTAAAAACGGATGTTACCATAGGGATAACTTTTTGTTTTTATTTCAATAGATAGGAGAGGGGGTATCAGGGACCTTCAGAAAATTCAAGACAATATGGAAGTAAAAGATTATGAACTTTTTCCTTGAACATTGTGAGTCCACTCCTATATGCCTCTGTGTCCTTCAGCTATAAACATGGACTAAGCTAAAGGACTGCACCGCGGGTAGGCCTGGCTTCCAGAAGGACAGCTGTGTTTCATCTAAGCTCATTGGCTATTATGGCGGGGAAGGGCGGTCTGGGGTACTAGTACTTGTTATTTCTCTGACTAAATCCCCAGGCAGTTATAGTGCTGTGTGTCAAAGGTTATCTAGCTAAAATTGAAACATGGCATAAGAGGTAACAAATGAGAGGTTGTGTTTTTCTAAAATAGACCTTTTGTTGAATCAAGGGTGGCTCTCTATTATTACTGGGTCCGTTTCTACTGCCCAGGGAGGCATTTCATGTTCATAACGTCTTCTAAATTAACTGCTCAGCGTCTCTTCAATGCAAATTTCCACGCCAGGCAGTGGCAATCCCCCTGACAGTGCACACACACCGTCACCACCCACAGTGTCTTTTGATGCCTGTGCTCCCACGCAGAACGGCTCTCGGGCCTAACTTCCTCTCAGGCACGCTTGCATGGGCACCTCTGCCGCATGCCGAGCTGTTCACCACATTCAGCTTAGTTTAATCACACTCTGCATTTCCCGTGGTGCCATGATAAAGACCTTAATGATAGGAAATTCTCATTTTCTTCTACTTTTTATGGGGTAGAGTTGATTATTAGTGAATCGCTTTTTTGTCTGTTTACTTCCAAAAATGATTTATAGCTGCCTCCAATAAGGATACATGTACATTTGACAGTCAAAGTATAGACTCATGAGATCACAAACCATAGAGAAGGAGGGTCAAACTGCCCAGAAACCAAAAATAAAATGGTTATTGTGATGCTAAACTTTCTGGCAACAGAAACAAAAAGAGGGTGGGGGGGTGGGGTTTGAGAGAGGAAAGGGGTGTGATAGAGAAACACTGCAACATAAATATTTAATAATTTAACTCAACTTATGAGAACAACAAAAATCCAAATCAAGCCAAAAGAACATTTCTCCATATCCAAAAAAGATGCTTATTTTAATTAAGAAAATCGTAAAATAAATATAAAAGCTGTTGCTTATTTTTCCACCTTAATTATCCACGTGCAAAATAAACTTGAACATAAATACAAACAGAAAAAAAATTTCTATCATTCTTAAAAAGTCTTGTGGAAGGAAAATCACTTACAGGTGCACCAGGAATACCCTGAGGCCCAGGTTCACCATCTAAGCCCCGGGAACCCTATGAAAAATAAGACAAAGAAACAAAATTGAGTCAGTCATATAAAGGCCACATAATTCTTTCTAAGAACTTCAAGAGCCAAATAAAAAAGAGGTCTTGGGCCAGTTACATATATTCTCTTTGTCACTGCACCCTGAGGAGTACTTAATTAGACCCCTCAGATATGAAAACACTTCCTAATGACTCATCACACTAGAAGTACGTGACCAGGACCTGTGCTCCCACTCTGGGCATGTTAACACCGTATCTAATCTAGAACGAAAATGGTACTGAGTGGAAGAGCCGCCTGCCCAGCATGCTCAGTACGCCTTAGGACTCCATGAATGTTAATGCCACAGGAGGCGCCAAAATACTGCGGCCAGGACGCTTCTACAGCTGCCCCTGGGGAGCACTCTGGAGTTTTAGATCTTCCTCTTAGACCCACAATCAGCAGTCCAGTCATGTCACTCAGGAGAGTGAACCCTAATCAAAATCTGAGCCTCTCGCTTCTCATCCTGGACAAATGCCTGGCTTGGTTTGTGTCAAGTAGCGGATCTATCTCCCCAACAAGTGGTAGCCTATGAACCACCCAGAACTTTGTACATCGTGTTATCTTAAAATGACCCCTGACTTGGCTACCAAGTGGACACGTCACGTACTTCACCTTCTTGTGTTGGTTATAAAGATCAAAGTTTTATTTTGAAATGAAAATATGATTCTTTCAATGTGCACTACCTATGTTAGAGGAGAAAATGCCGCCCCTTCTTTCAATCTTTGTCTCATCTTCTAGGTTAATGAGGTAGCAGAAGAGCAACGGAAGTGAACAGAACACCTCTTAATGAACAGGGTTGGGATGCAAAGATGATAAAATAAATTAAAAAATTTTTTAAAACAGTCAAAAGATGATTGCTTAGAAACCAGGCCAAGAAAGCCAGGTGGGCAGCACGTGTTGTAAGAACTGGAAATTAGGAAACCTTGGATAGGAGGTACAGACATACGTAGAATCAACGCAAGAACACAACTGAGGCAGGGACACCACAGAGCCTTGACAGTCTTTGATCCCTAAGAACTAGAACAGAGCAGACGGCATTCTACATTCACCAGGAAGAAGAGATTTGGAAGGCCTGTAAAGGACCTTGAATTCATCATTCAACTTGTATTATGTGAGCGAGCGGGGCCCAGTCTTTGCATTATAGAAATCTCTTTGATGCGCTCTCTCTCTCTGCTGTTGCGCACGAGCTCAGACCCACATTGCTGTTACTAGGTAACCACTCCACAGGTCTGAGTTCACCAGAAAAGCTTTTTTTTTCCCTCCCACAAAAGCAATTTGACAGAAATCAGAGGAAATGAAAAATTTTCAAAATTACCAAGCAGGAGAATACCTCAAATAAAGAGCCTATCAAGAGCAGTAATTGGTTTCAAAATAAGGGGGTCACATATTTGAGGGGATCATTTAAATCGAGGGGAGAAAAGGGAAGACCTATGATATTAGCAGCTTCAGACTAGATGGAATTTATTATTTAATAAAGGAATAGCTGTAAACACCAGGTGTTAAGACAACATGAATCCGGACATAGGCGTGAATCGACTATGTGTTTAGAAGAATACGGTGTTTGTAGAAAAGAACTGCTCTAAAAAGGAGGCTGAGGATAGAAGGCAGATAAAGATACCTAGAAACCAGAAAGAGCGGATCTGAGGAAATGGGAGTTGAAAGAATGGGAAAGAAACCAGGGCTTCAATCCACAGAAAAATATTTTCCTTAAAAAAGAAGGAGCCAAAAAAGATGATTCATTTCCGGGACACACCTACAGTGTATTTGTTAAAAGAAGATTCTGTGTTGCGGGTGGTTTTGACATTGTCGTCCATAGGAGATTCTAAGGAGCATCAGCCCGGGGTCAGAGAGGGTTGTGAATGAAGATGGTTGGGGGTTGTTGGGTTGTTTGGTTGGATTTTCATTTGTTGGGGCCCAGCACATATAAATTGCTTAACCTAACCCACATTCTAAGAAGTCACCATCTAGCATTTTCTTCAAATGTGATGAAGAGGTTTAGATAGACACCTATACACACACAACCATGGCGGTGCGGTTGGGCGGGGAGGGGATGGGAATCCTGAACATATCGTAAGCATTCAGGATTCTCTAATTCTCCTCATGATATTCACCCTGCAATTATTTTCCCTCCGCCCCCCACCTGCAGCAACCCTCCTCCAGCCGCCCACTGCACCCTCCTCCATCGCTCCTCCCAATGACTCCCATCAAGAGTAGCCAGCCACGCTGCGACCTGCTCACGGCAGTACGACTTCCCTCGGATTTGTGTCTCCCCTGCCTGCCTTGTAAGTAGCTATTTGCTTGTCCCATTCCTCTTTGAATCTTCCCAGCACCTCGCACCGTGTCTTACTAGGTAAATCTGGTTTCTGAGACTGAGCCAAGGTGAGCTGGTATCCGGCAGCCACAGGTGTGTTATCCCTGTTAAGTTCAGGCCTTAGTAATTCCCTGGCCAGAAGCACTCGGGCCCTGGGGACCAGCTAAAGGTTTTTCTTTGCTAATAAAACACAAGTCATTGGCAATCCTAACTATTTAAAATTTACATCAAGAGGCAAAATAACACAACCTTAGCGACACTAATTTACCCAGAATCATTTAAAATACATAATATATGGCACATGTCACAAATATTCCTCCTGTCTACCAACTATGTTTTCAACATTCAAGAACTGAAAAACAAGAAGTCATTTTTAAATAGGCAAAAGCGCAAATATTTTATATATTCTCTTATTATTATTGACATCTTCTTACTTTTTCTCCTTTTGCCCCAAGTATGCCAACAATGCCCCTCAGCCCTTGAGCTCCCTAGCAAGGAAAAAGAAAAGGGAATTATTTGAGTTAAAGCACACATTCTTATCATCACAAAAGTTGACCCAAAAGAGTCACAGGATTTCATACAGAGCGGTCATACTAAGAAATGGTAACTAGACAAAGCCTTCCACTGTAGAAAGAAAAGCCAAACGAGTTATTTTTAAAAATTTCTAAAGATGCATACAAGCCTGGAGCTGGCATATATACTGATATAAAAACGGCAGTATCATTAGCATAAGAGGGATTATCTTTAACTCACACACAGACTACACTGTCACAACCACCTTCTTCATCTTTTGTTACTTAGTGACGTCATACCTTGGACTACTTTTCCTTCCAAAGGCAATTAGGTTCCCAAGCGAGTCCACAAAAGCACACGATTTACAAATTAAGCTGTAGTCTGAATCAACCACCTGTAGACACTATCATCCCACAGTTTCAAGGGTAAAAAGGCATTCTGAATCCAAACTAGAACAGAAAGGATCCATCTCACCTCATCGGAGGCCCTGGTACGGGTAATCCTAAAAATGAGGGATCATAAATGTAATTTCTGTAATCCCTCTCAGTACTGAAATGTCACCGTTCTTCAATCTCTAGTCCCAAAGTGCCAACATTCACTGCCATTGAGCGGACGCAGGCTCATAATGACCCTACGGGGGCAGGGCAGACTGTCCTGGTGAGATTGCAAGACTGTCCTCTTTATGGTAGTAGAAAGTCTTTTGTCTTTTTCCTGAGGAGCAGCTGGTGGTCTCGAACTGTTGACCTTGTGGTCAGCTCCAGACATTAGTCATGTAAAGAGTGAGCCTTGTTGCTCTTTGGGGAGCATGTTCTACTCCACTTAAAAGTAAATCGCTGCTGCTGGGCAGCTATCTACCTGTCCACAGTAAATTAAGATAAAGCTCTCTAGACCTGTTGTTTCCCTTATGTTCTTGGTAGACAAAAGGGCGCAATTCCATGCCCAACTGCTCAAGCAGCTAAGTCACAAGTTCTGTGTCGCTCCATTAGGAATGACCAGGAATTTAAGTGAGCAGGGCTATCCAGCTTAGGACGTCCACTTAGGATAGAAAGGAAGATATGGCCATATCAGATTAAAGCTGCTTTTTCTGTGTAGTTCACTTACTAAATGTTCTTGTGTAATCCATTTATGGACTTGGAAGGGAATTCTACAAGACTTCCAAAATTATTTGGATTAAGAACAGTGACATGAAGATGCCAAGCATCTTTGAAATTTTCTTTGAAAAAGTGCTTGGGTGTACATTGGGAAACTTCTCCTATTTTAAAATATAGTTCTATCCCAAAGCTGACTTAGTAGAAAAATAAATAAAATAGAGGATGCCATGTTAATTCCAAAAGCTAAACAAAAAATGTTACAGGATTCACAAGAAAGGATTGTTTTTAAATGCCAGTGACATATGTTTCAAAAACACTTTACTGGAGGTCCTTGGGCGCCAACTTCTCCAAGTTCTCCCTGGTCACCTTCTTCGCCCTAAAGAACCACAAAGGAAAACAAATGAACACGGGAAAACACAGCTCAGTCCCATGTCTTTTGGGCTCATTTGTCATTCCTTGAATTATTCTACTGCAGTTCTTTGTCTTATATGGGTTGATACCTATTCACTATCAAGCATCTAGAAAAGATTGAGACGTGTACAAGTAAAGCCACCCAAATCTCGCCAGGTAGCTACGTATATCAGGGACATTTCACACTGCATCCTTTCAGCGCTTCTCTACACACACATTGTGTGTATGATTGGGTGTGTTACTAGGAAAATGTTACCTGTAAACTCTTCCATAAACTTCCTCACTTTTAAAATCATGAAATAGTTTTCCTCTTCACTTTTTACTGTAGACAGATGTTTAATGTATTTAAAATAATCTTTTTTCATAAATAAAACCATAGAAATGCTTTCTCTATATGCCCCCAAAATAATGTGTATGTACATTCATTCATCTATATTTTTCTTCTAGTATATTTGTAAGCTTAATTTCTTACATAGAAATATTTAAACAGCAATTTGTTTTTTGAAAAATATAAGGTAGAATTTTTTCCCAATATAGCTTATCGAGCAATAGACACACAGTGTAGAAAATTAATCCTTAACATACATGAAATTGTTAAAAACAAAAATAAAGTAGGCTCTAAACTTCCTTTGCTACTCTTCTAAACTGCTGTGTGATGCTGCCAATACAAAAACATTTTCCATTTTGAAATGTTATAATGCATTTTAATATCACTCAGGAAGAATTCCACTATGTGTCTTTTTTTTCCATTTATAATTGAACTCATTCTCCAGATTCTCTTAAATGTTGACCCTTCTAGATGAAATTTAGAATGTTTGGGCAACTCCTTACAAAAAGCATATATGCTTTGTATTAGGACTACATTAAATTAATAGACAAATATGGAGAGAATTGAAATATTTACAATTTTGAGTATTTCTCTGCTCAAACTCAGTGTCTCCCTATTGAGTCAACCCCCCACCCTCAGTCAAAGAAGTGTTGCCCTTTTTGTCATATCGTGTCATTAGGTGCCATCAAGTTGGATCTCATTCACAGTGACCGTATGTATAACAAATGAAACACTGCCCAGTCCTGCACAATCCTACCAATTATTGTGATGTTTGAGCCTGTGGTTGTAGCCACTGTGTCAATCCCTCATCAAGGGTCTTCCTGGTTTTCATTGACCCTCTATTTTGCCAAGCATGATGTCTTTTTCCAGGGACTTGTCTCTCCTGACAACATGTCCAAAGTATGTGAGAGGAAGGCTCTCCATCCTGGATTCTAAGGAGCATTCTGACAGATTTGTTTGTTCTTCTGAAAGTCCCTGGTATTTTCAGTTGTCTTTGCCAGCACTGTCGTTGAAATGGAGCTATTGTTCCCTGATCTTCCCTCAGAAATGCCCAGCTTTCACATGCATCTGAGACAATTAAAAATACTATGGCTTGGGTCAGGGGCATCGCAGTCTTCAAAGTGGCCTCCTTGCCCTTCAACACTTTAAAGAGGTCTTGTGCAATAGAGTGGTCCAAAGCAGTATGTCATTGGATGTCTGAACCGCTGCTTCTGTGAGCACCATTTTTTGTTGTTGTTGGTTTGGTTTTCATACTAGATCTCATAGTAAGCTTGTTCTAAGGTGTGCTGACAAGTCGTTAATGGCAATGGAATTTTGCTCTAAGCTTATTCTATTCTTGTTCTAAGGCAGTGGTTCTCAACCTTCCTAATGCCGTTACCCTTTAATACAGTTCCTGATGTTGTGGTGACCCCCAACCATAAAATTATTTTCGTTGCTACTTCATAACTGTACTTTTGCTACTGTTATGAATCATAATGTAAATATCTGATATGCAGGATGTATTTTCATTGTTACAAATTGAACAGAAGTGAACATAATTAAAGCATAGTGATTAATCACAAAACAATATATAATTATATATTGTGAAATATTTATGTGTTTTCCGATGGTCTTAGGTGACCTCTGTGAAAGGGTCATTCAAACCCCAAAGGGGTCGCAACCCACAGGTTGAGAACTGCTGTTGTTGTAAGGTATGTTGACTGGTGGTTAATGGCAATGGCGTCGAGCAGCCCCAGTGCCTAACCCACTACGCCATCAGGGCTCTCTCTGAAGGAAACATCGTCACCAGAAGGAGGGGAAGAGACACAGGAGAGCCAGACACAGCTGTGGGCCCCCACGTCTGGGCTGCCACCTGTATTCTCTCAGGAACATTTTCTGGTGTAAGTGAATGTTGTTCAACACCATTTTGTGTGTGTGTGACTATATACTATTTTGTCATATGAATCGTTAGAGAGTCTCTGCAATGGGTCATCCTGGCTTTTCAGTGCAACGCACCTGAATACACTTAGAATGCAGCCAGGCACATGAAAGGTAATTAACAGGTATTTGTTGAATTTTTTAATTATGAATTCTAAGATTCAGTAATGGAATTGAGTATACAGAAAAATGTCCAAATTGGTCAAGTTTCTCTCTTTGCCAATCTGATCTCAGGATTGTACTGCAGATTAATACACTGGCTCCACTGTGGAAAGCTGAAGTGTCAGAGACCTTTAAAACTGCAAGGTATGAAAGACCTTAAAAATAGATTCCCAAACAGTAATAGTAGACAGAACACTGATTTATCCTGATTATCTCGCGTTATCAACAGATTAATTCTAAAAACTTCAAGCATATTAATGCTTGAAAACAGTAGTCAGGTGCCTCTAGTTCCTGGCTCGCCATGAAAAGGGCTGGTCTCCTGCCCAGTGTTGAGTAAAGGGGACCAGAAAACACAGTCATAAAGTCCAGGGGCCCTCACTAAAAAGAACAGTTTGATTTCGTGAAATATGAAATTAACAGGGACAAAAATTCTGGTGGTCAAATTCTCAGATACCTCAAGTCAATGTGCTCTAGTGGGTGAGGAAAAGTGCACATGAGTAGCTTCATTGTAGACTTCAGCCACGGTTTTTCTGCAGGACATGCCAGCCTCGGTGCAAATTATGCTTGGATTCCATGTTCCCATCCCGATAATAACATAAGTCCTATCACAAACTCTCAGCTTCCTCAAAATCTAGGTTATATTGAAATGAGGTCAAAAATAAACAGATAAACTATTTCAAAACTTGAGATGAGAAGTTATAAACCAATTACCAACTTCTCTCTTTGCTAGGCTCAGCAATACATGTCATAAAATTTTACACTTGTCATAAAATTGTGTTTGCCGGAGTGGAACATCTAGCTGAGTAATGTTCGACTCAAAGGCGTCAAGGGAAAGAGCTGAGTGTGATTGATTTGTAGAGGGCAGCACAGAGGGAAGACTCGGATGCAGGGTACTTCCTTTGTTTCTGATAATTGGACAATTTTAGAACATTATTCTTCATTAGAATGTTGACGCATTTGCAGAGGACTTATCCATCATCGCTGAAAAAGGAAATGAAAAATGCCACGCTCCATTGTTCTGTATAATTTCTTGTAATGCCTTATCGGGAAAGTGATCGGTACCGCCTACTCACAATGTACCCGTTCAATACCCATGTGCTTACCTTGTGCCCTTGTCTTCCCGGTTCACCAATTTCTCCTTTTGCACCTTTATGACCCTAGAAAATGCAAATTAGGGAATCAGTGAATTAAAATTGGGTTGGGTTTGGCTCAGAATGTGGCCTCAGTCATCACTGTCAAGATGCTACTAAGAAAAAGGGAGGATCGTAAAGAAAACCTCTGCTAGTGAGGTGTTTATTACCTGGCTGCTGTATATAAGAACCATCAGGCTTAACTCGTAGCAAACCCATGTTAGCAAAGAATGAACACTCCATTACCTGGTTAAGCCACATATACTCATTCATACTTGACCAGTGATCCCTGGATTCCAGTTCCCCTAACTTTCTCTCTCAGTTAAGTCCTCTCCACATCAGTAATGTACTTCCCGGAGGCAGCAGCCCTCTCCTGTATCATCAGACCACCCCCTCTTCTCGGAAGACTCCTCTGAAGATCCTCTGCTTGTCCGCCCCCCGCCCCTTTCCTGAAGGCAGGAGGGGTGGTATAAGAAGCAGTTTCCCAGATGCACACCTTTCTGCCTGTTCTGTGCAACATTTTAAGTGCGAAGGAAAAGTATATCATGCCGTCAGTGGAGGTCACACAGCATGAAGAGGCCGGTCTTTTCTTGTCAGTCCATCTAGTCTAAGAATAGGCGTGCTTTGAACACTTACAGAAGGCAAAATGTGATACAAATATTCTAAAATGAAGTCCGTCGTATCTTTCACCCCTCAGTCTTTTTCCTTCCAAGAGTGCAAGTCCTTCATCAGATGCGCACCACCGAGTCCAGCACGGATTTGAGAACACCTGGGCGCAGCCATCGAAGCTAACTTACATCATCCCCAGCCTGCCACCAGACACCCAGGGCCTAGCCAACTAAACGTCGTATTTCTCAGTCACCTACTCTTTTCATTTCCCAATAACAAATGAGATGTGAAATGTCTTCAAGATCCTTTCATTATCATCAAAGCTATATTTTAAAAACATACTTACTTTTCACTGAAGTTTCTTCTTCTTTCTTTCATCTATGTTTCCATAGTCTATTACTTTAACTAGCTGCGTAGAGCTAAGACTTTGGGTGGGGAAGAGATATGAGAAACCAGAGCCTGTATGATGGGTCACCGAGTCAGCAGGGGTCGTGCACAGGGAAATGTAAGCAGCTGGGAGATAACGGATGTCCAAAAGACCTGTTTCTACAGACCAGCATAATTACTGCCAAGGTCAACTGGAAAAATCTGACAATGAACAAATAGCAAAACTGGCATGAGATTTAATATATTAAAAAGTTGTATGGAAATCCTAATCCCCGAAGCTATAAATATGCCCTTGTCTGGAAACTGGAACATTCTTTATGTTAATGAGATCATTCTGCTATACTAATGAGGTTCTAATCTCTTCTATGCGGTGCCTCATTCAAAGAGCAGAACAAATAAAGGCACACACAGCGGGGAGGGACCACGTGAGGAACCATCGACAAGCCAAAGAATGCCAAAGAACATCCAGGGCTAATGACAGAGACAGGCCCTCCCCAGAGCTAATGCCTGGACTTGAACATGTAGCTTCTCATACATAAGGCAAGACATTTCTCTTCTTTAAAGGCACCACTGGGGTACTTTGTGTTCCTTAGCACTTAGGTAACTAAGACATTTGCCTAAGCCATCAAAGTGAAGTGTCTGCACCAGGGTGCCAGTGCCTAAAATAGAATGAACATTTTTAGCAGAGAATACTCTAAGAAAATAAAGCACGCGAATTATTTCTCTTACTCTCATGCCTGGTAGGCCTGGATATCCGGAGCGTCCTGGTGGACAGGAATTGGGACACTGTTAAAGAGAAAGCAAAAGAAAATATAAACCAGAACCCCACTTTATAATAACTTTGAAGGATTCTCAAAAGAATCTCAATGCAACTATATCCATCTGAATATTCCTCTCCTTTTCTTTTTGTCAATGTCTTTGCTAAACTTAGAAGTGTTTTAAACTTATGAGTAAGTAGAGGGAATATAACAAATTCTACCCCTATGTATCTATCATCAATATTTAATAAATATTGTTTCCCATATTTCTCTTAAACCTAATTTATGAAAGAATTGAAATATCTTTAGAAAGCTTATTATATCCTACCTTTGACTATGACCTAATCCAATGTTCCGAATGCCCTCCACGGCCATAAATCTGTCCTGAACTTCGTATCTGCTTGTCAAATGTGACAAAATAGTTTGTCACGTAGTCGACCAGCATCGTTTGAATATAGCCAAGCGTGGGGGGGAAGGGGGGCTGGAGAGTATTTGATATCCAGCTCTAAAACCAGGGGTTCTAAAGAAAAGGACCCCTTAATTATGCCATTGACTAATTACTTTATAGACTAATAAGATTATAGAAAAACAGGTATTTCTATAGTGAAAAACTGTGACCGCCTGAGGGTCTACAAGCCACTCATCCACTATTGCTGCAGATTGCTCTGTCATCTATAAAATTAAAATGCATTATCACCCAGCAAGATAATTTCAAGATAATTCATCAAAGATTACACAGTCTCTGATTAGAACTTTATTTTTTAAAAGGAAATGGCTTACCAATGGACCTCCATCATGAAAACCAATTGTTCCCTAAATAAATAAGATATTAAAGTCAAGAAGATAGCTAAATAATTAATTCAAACCTAATGCTAATAGAAAGTTCTCTGGACAAAAATATAATGAGTATATTTTTCAATAAATGTAATGAACAAATAACAGCATGTAATATGATCCTATTTTAAACATTGACTCATGAGCATACTCCTTTTGGAGAATTCTCAATTTTGGTCGATTTTTTCCCCCAAGGATTCAAGGGAGATAAAATAAGAGGCATAACAGAAAATACTATGGGAGTATTAAAAATACAGATTATCTACCTAGATGTTACTATGTAAGTAAACCCTTTGTAAAACTGATCGAAAATATTGCTTTCATGCTTCAAATTTTGAGCGTTTAAGAAATCAGGAGCATCAAAGGGCTTGGTCACATGTGATGGTTAAACTTTACCCTCCACCTTGTGAGCCTCCTACTTCTCTGACCGAAAAAAACCATGCTCTCAGTAGGGGAAGAAAACTGGTCATCCCTTTTGGTGTTTTATAGCAATGACACAATGAATAGGCATTTCCATTTGGAGTTCACATATTCAGTCCCAATTCTTGGAAACAAAGAGAAACGCAAGCCACAAATCACTTACACTGGGTCCTGGAGGGCCAGGGGGTCCAGGGGGGCCTTTCTTCCCAGGGTCACCCTAAGTTATTTGAAAATGGTGACACAGTTGGTTATACACATGTCAAAGTGCAGTACCGAATGCTGGTGCAGCATGAGAACACGGCATTACTAGAAACCCCTACAGAGCTCAACCAGGCATAGACCTGCCACTGGAATCGATGGGAGGCCCATAATCCAATTACCTCCACAAAACTAGAATAATAAAGACGGTCCAGTCTCACTGAGGTAATAAAGCAAGACGAGCAAAGGGAGACACGGGGCAAACCAGCTAAGGCAATTCTTCTTTATAAGATGACCACTCTGTCTACTCTGCAAGCACTACATGCATCTTTCCTTATTTGGTTTACAGAGAAGCCAGGGCAGTCAAAACTGGTGAAGACATCTAGTTAGCTATAGCAAAAAATAAAGGTGTGCAGGAAGTAAAGCCCCAGCCTACAGCTGGGACACCGAGGGTCGATGGCCATGCATGACCCACACTGGTGCTCTTCACCCACAGGCTCTCACGTGGGCTATTGCTGCACTCTTGTAAATGGCTAACTTCAAATAACCCATTAAGGTGAAATGGGTTTCCGTTAGCCTTAATATCTACAGTTTATTCCTGGAATGTTTTCCTATTTAATGTACTACCATAAGAAGCCAAAAACATAGTTTAAAAATTGGGGGGCTCTTGTTGTTGTTGTTGTTAATATATATAGCAGAACAAGAACCAATTTAAAAATACTGACATGTGCAAGTCATTGATATTGACTCTATTGTTTGAAGTCATGCAATCATCCTTGCCCTCCTTTTCTGAATTGTTCCTCTCCCTTTAAGCTCTTTGCCCCTTAACTTTCCCATCTAATCTGTCAAGTCATTACTGTCGATTTGATCTGTCAATCCAGGTAGTTCTTAAAGGAGCAGACTGCTCAGAGCAGACATTCTTTGCTAGATAATGTTTGCTCTGAAGACTCTGGGATGGTTTGGGTATAAAGTTCAAATATTATATCAGGGCAATAATTTCAGCGATTCATCCAGCATCTATATTTCCCCATAGACTGGATTCTCTTAAAATATAAATTTTTGTTCTGCAGTTTCCCCCCTTTTGATCAGAACTATTCTATACAAGCTTTGATTAAAGCATTCATTAATAATAGATGAGAATCATCCAGTTCTTCTGGTCTTATGACTAAGGAGGCAGTTGTTTATATTCACTTCATAATCATTCATTTATTTGGTAATAAATTTATCACACAGAAAGCATATGTAGAGTAGCAAACAAGGGGTATAGAATGTGGTTACTTTGGTTAATGAGATTATAATTACTTATCTTCACATAACTGTTGAATATTTTGAAAGTGTAGGCTGAAACACTTTTTTCAGCAATTTGTTTCACGAAGTTCAGACTTTGGTTGCTTGAAGTTTTTGTTGTTGTTGTTCAATTTTAATTTAAAAATCCTAACATGAATATGCATGGTAATAATTTTAAGGTACTCACTCCACATTTCATGCGATAATCTAATACAAATGATTGGACCCTCCTGGCTATAAGGAAGGTGACAGTCCCTCATTTGGTCACTAAATTTGAATGTTGGAAAGCAAAGCTTAGTTAGAAAAGTTTGGAGGAAAAATTAAAATCACTCTACAATAACAAGGGAGCATTATTATTCCAGGTCCCTATTGATTAAGAAATAGAATGAAATTCAGCTGCCATTTTTGAATTTGTAAAGAGAAGCATACATTTAGGGCAATTTGCCCTTCCCAGAATCATCTTCTCTTGAAACAGCAAATATCTGTCACAATGTGGCACTTACGATTGATCCCACTCTGCCAAGCTCTCCAGGGAGTCCTGCTGCCCCAGGAGGACCCTAAAAATCATCACATCAAAAGTATAGTGATTTATGGGTGTTTCTGGCATTCTAACATAATTATATTCAATATAGAAATAGCCAACTTAGAATTATGCATCTCTGTTAGATTTAGTTTCCAATGGAGCAATAACCCATTTGATCCAACTGTCACTACTTTAAAAAAAAAGAAATTTCATAAATCAATTAAATATTTTGTTGAACCATCAGTAGCTATCTATGATCTTGTCCATAAGACAATATAAACACCCCTGTGAAGAATGTTAGTTCGAGAACAAAGCTGGGGAAACAGGCTCTCTCTCTTTAGGAACTTTGTAAAAATAAATGAATAAATGGAACTTACAGGGGGTCCAGGGATACCACGGCCCTAAAACAGAAGAATAAAAGTGTTTTATGACAAGTAGTTTACACTGAGTAGAAATATAGACGCAGCTATAGTTCACCTCCAAAATAAGCAATAAATTATGCCACTAAATATAGGAGGGCTTCTAAACGTTTATGAAAAATGGAATTGAAAAGGAACTTTTCCATGAACTTCTTGAAGCTCCCTCATATACCTGATGCTCTTTCTGAAAAAGCACTGGATAAAGAAAAGCAAGCATGCTTTGTTTCCAGAGAAAGCAGAGGCTTGTTTTCAATTCTTCAAACAGTCCTTTGCTGTCTAAGCTTGCCAGTAATATTTATTCCATACTTTTTAAATGAAAATCAAAGTAAATAAGTAATACAAGATTGTCCTCCAGAAAACTTAACATTACTCACAAAGAGGCAGTTTAATCTGTTGGTTTAAAAGTTTGTTTTTGTTTTTGTTTTCTTTTGTAGTGTTTTTATAAGAAACCTAGTATGATGTTTAGCAATCCTAGTAAACTATATGTCAACTTGGCTAAGCCATGACACCCCATATTGTGTGGTGGTCCTATACCCTACAATTTGTGATTGATATAACTAGCCCTCATTGTGTAATTATGTATTCCAAATCCTAACCTTGATATATTGAGACAGGATAAGTGGGAGTTTGTTAAGTCACAGACTTACACGTGTGTGTGACTCCAGTGCCACCTTTATTCAAGTTCCACTCTGACTCACGTCATCCCCTACTCTGATGTAAGCGGGGTTTCGGTAGGACCTGAGGTCAATATCTCAGTATATATGGATAGTTTCAAATCAGGATAGGTGTGGGTCAAGGTTGTATCTTCTCACCATACTTATTCAATCTGTATGCTGAGCAAATCACCAGAGAAACCAGATTATATGAAGAAGGATGAGGCAGCAGGATTGGAGGCAGGCTTATTAACAACCTGAGATCTGCAGATGACACAGCCTTGCTTGCGGAAAGTGAGGAGGACTTGAAGCCCTTGCTGATGAAAATCGGGGATTGCAGTCATCAATAGGAATTACAACCTAACGTAAAGAAGGCCAAAGTCCTCACAATTGGATCAATAATGTAACTGCATGATAAATGAAGAAAAGATTGCCGTTGTCAAGGGTTTTGTCTTGGTTGGATTCACAATCAGTGTTCATAGAGGGAGCAATTAAGGGATCAAACGACGTGTTGCAATGGGTAAATATGCTGCACAAGACCTCTTTAGAGCATTGAAAAACAAGGGTGGTACTTTGAGCACTCAGATGTACCTGACCCAAGCCATGGTATTTTCAATTGCCTCAGATGCATGTGAAAATTAGACACTGAATAAGGAAGACCAAAGGATTGCTGCATTTGAATTGTGATGCTGGAGAAGAATATTAAAAATACTATGGACAGCTGAAAGGACAAATAAATCTGTCTTGGAAGAAGTATAGTCAGAGTGCTCCCTAGAGGCAAGAATGGCAAGCATTTGTCTTACCTACTTTGGACATACTGTCAGAAGAACCCAGTCTCTGGAACAGGACATCAGACTTGGTAAAGTGGAAGGCAGTGAAAAACAGGAAGGCCCTCGGGGAGGTGGACTGACACGTAGCTCAGCAAGGAGCCCCCCATAGGAACAATTGTGAAGATGACGCAGTTCTGGGCAGTGTTTGGCTCTGTTGTGCATTGGATCACGATGGATTGGATCCAACTTGATGGCATCTTCCAACAACAGAGATGCTCTGGAAAAGCTCTTCCTTGTTCTGGATCTTATACCTGGCCCCTCATCAACTGAACTCGTTATTGGGCCTTACGCTAGCAGCCTGTTATCTGGTATGTCTGACCTGCCAGCAGTGTGACCATGAACCTCTGCAACCATGTGAGTCAAAAAGCTTCCATCCTAAGACCTAGCCCAAGAGTTTGGGACTTTCCAGCCTTTGTAACCATGTGAGCCAGTTTTGTGATGTAAATCTCTTTTCCTCTCCATCCATCCATCTACCTCCCTACCTACAAACACAAACATACACACACACACACACACATGCACACGGCACTTCAAAAGGTTCATGGAAAAATGGAATTAAAATATAATGAAATTTTCCATGAACTTGTTGAAGACTATGTATTTATATATTTATTGCCATTGAATCTGTTCTGACTCGTAGCAACTCTATTGAACAGGGTAGATCTGCTCCCAAGGATTTCTGAGACTATCGATCAAAAGCAGACATCATCTCTCTGTCTCGCTCTTTGTCTCTCTGAGAGCGACAAAGACTTGAAGACATCTGCTTATACAGTATACACTCAAGTATAAACTGACCTGACTATCAGCAGAGGCACCTAACTTTACCACAAAAGCTGCATTAAAAATGTGCTGAAAAAACTCAGCTATATAGGAGTATATATGGTATATATATGGATATATTCTTACATAAATTCTTATATACATATTAGAATCCCGTTGAAAGTTATTTCAGTAAGGATCCTATTTATTTTCAATATCTACTGGATTTGATTTCTGAAAATATATCCCTATTTATCATATGTATGTACTTACAACCTATATATAGAGAGAAAAGTAGAGGAAGAAATGTTACCTACAGCTTAGTCATTTACATATAATGTATATCTTAAACAGTTGAGCTGAGTTCTCTAGAGAAGCAAAATCAGTGATGCCTAAGAGCCCTATCTTACAAGTAATACAATACACTGTTCAGTTCGTAGGGCTAGTTAGTTCTCCAGACGAATATTCAGCACAGAAAAGATGGAACGAGAAGAGGATCTGAAACACGGCCCTGTTGATGAAAAGGGATATATTTTCAAACACCAAATCCAGTCGATATTGAAAATAAAGTGTCTTTCCTGAAATAACCTATGATGGGCTTCTAATTTGATATGCTGAATTTTACATTAAAGCCAGAGATTCTACCTCTCGCTTCCTTACATTTTATATCTTCCTAGGACATCAAACCACATCTTTGTCACCTTCATGGCATGAATTCCTAGCACAGGGTCCAGTGCATACTAAACTTTAACCAAATGCTGTTGAACTTAATAAAACTAAGCGTCCATCACCCGGAACCCCTATTCTCTCTCTCTTTGCGCTCCACAGCCCATCTCTTCCCCATGAGATAGCTCATTACTCTTCTCTTTCCTGCATTCACCGGGTTGGCTTCCATTCATAGCGGTCTCTGATCCCACACCACCATCATGCTAGGGTTCAGTGCCAAGGTCACTTCTCTAAAATAGTCACATATGGAGCAGCCCTGATGCCTGCATCATTTCCCCTAGTTATTTAGGACATCAAAACAATAAAGAATTCACCTGGGTGGTATGTTTTCATCATAAGTGAGCTCTTTCAAGGCATTCTTTGAAAAATGACTCATATTTGAACATTTTAATTTATGGATCAATTGGGGAAATCAGTGTCATGCCTGAAAATCCCAAAGCAATCAATATTTAATTTCATTATCAGAAACCTAGTTGTTTGACAAAGTTTGCTAAATGAAAAAAAGGTGGGAGCATGTCTGTAAGATGCTGAGATTTAAGTTTAGAAATATGGGAGAGAAGCCAGCAAGCTATTCACTTCTGAAAATAGGCTTATAATGGAAAAGCTGACAGTTACTGAAATATGGCCAAGAAAACCATACAAGTAGGGGAGAGAGAGGGAGGGTTGTGATTCGTGATGAGAACAACAACAGAATAAGATGAAGAGCAAAATGGGAAGAAACCCAGCTTGAGGACCTGGGGTCCCCTTCAGCATACACATGCAAGGTGGAAGACCAGTCAGGGAATCCGGCTGGTGATGACACCTGCTTACGGGATGCTTCCTGGTGGAGAAAGCAGCTTGATGTGGGGGCCTAAACATTGAATTCTTGAGTAACTGTTATTATCGGGGCGGGGGGTGTGAATGCATCTCTGATCAATGCTGGACAAGCTGGCCTGACTCAGTGGCGCCTGCAGCAATGGACACAAACTTAAGAACCACTGTGAGGACGAGGACGGCAGAGGCCCGGGCAGTGCTGCGTCCTGTTGTCCGTCGGGTGGCTAGCAGGGCAGTGGACAGCACCACCGTCGCTTGTGAGAAGACATCCTGCTTCATAGTGTGCCTTCATGGTTCTCCCAAATTCTTCTACTCACAGGCGCAAAGCGGGAACTTACCGTACCAGATAAGTCATGACACCATTTGTCATGTAGGTTATATAGAAAATGGCACTTAGGATTTTTACAAAGGCAGAATTTTGCAAGAATAGATGCTCAAGTCCGTTGTTTTAAATTTACATACTGGGAACCCACGAGGTCCGGGCACACCAGGTTCTCCCTAGAAATAAAAATACCCTCATTATATTTAGGTTTGAGTAGTAGGAATACACAAGTGTTCAAACTGCTTAAGTATTGATAACTTGAAAACACTCCATCTTTGTGTTGTTAAACATCATTTTGGTTGGAAAAGTATGTTTCAGCTCCTTCAGCATTTGATCATTAGCTGATTTGCAAATACTTTCATGAAATTACACTCCAGCATTTTTAATACTAAGTGGCTTACTTTCTGTCCCCTTGGTCCAACAGAGCCAGGGGATCCATCGGGTCCTGTTAATCCCTTAACAAAACAAGAGAAGTGATATTAGAACGTTTCTAGCATGGTTAGGCAAATGACTTAGGCATGATTGTAGCCTGCTTAGGTAAATTGGTAGGGGAGTTATTCCATTTCATTAATTTTCTACACGTTTTGTGTATGATGCAACTGTTTATAAGTACATGCATTTCGATACACTTACTCGAAGATAGCATTTAACATAAGATCTGATTGCCAGCTCCTTGATGCTGATAAATTGTATCACACTTGTCACTTCTTGCTTACTGTCCTATTTACTATGAGTAAGTCATTTATATCATTTAGTCTTACTAACTGCGTTATCATCGTCCCCCCCTCATAGCAGTCCCTGCCTGCTGAGGAGACTTGTACTAATAGGGTTTTCAATGGCTGATTTTTCAGAAGTAGATTGCCTGTCCTTTCTCTTGAGGGGCCCTTGGGATAGACTTGAACCTCTAACCATTCAGCCAGCAGCCACCTTTCCTAGACATTTGCAATACCCAGGATTCTGGGGGTTTGTTGTTCCCGCTTCCGGAGAAACGCGCACGCACACACTCACTCACGATAAGGGCGTCGCTCTATTAGCTGTCTTGCCTCTGCCATTGATTTGGGTTTATGTGTCCCCTTTTTTTCATTTGACTAGTGAAACTGCTCTGTGTCTTTCTAACCACTGGACAAGGCTTTCTTGAGGGCTCGTGAAATGCTTCTGCACGAGGAATTACACACAGATAATCTCATGCCTGCCCTATAGCTAGCTGCACTCAACGCCCTTTAGCCATCCTCTAGCAATGATCATTGCCGACTAAAAAATAGTGACTTTTGAAACGGAATTTGGTAGGAACATCTTGCTTCATTATCTGCCTCATTAAAGTAGCTATAGTTAAATACATAGATTCATAGGTGCTACTCTGTGTAGGATTTAAGCCGAGTAAAGCACATCTTTATCATCTGTACGCCTATAAAACTCCAACTCACAGCGATCAAGCTGGTTCAGAATCCTAGGGACCCTATACGGGGTTTCTAAGACCAGGTTTCCACATCTTTACAAGAGCAGACCCCCATCTTCCTCCCGCAGAGCAATGAGTGGGTTTGAACCACCGAATTTTCAGTTAGCAGCCCAATCCCACCGCACGACCGGGTCTTATATAAATCCTATATACTATACTATATCAATATGATCTTTTAGACATCTCATTTTCTCCACAAGTCTTTATTTTATTGCCACCCTCAATACAAATATAGATATTAAACATGATACACTACATGCTTGCCTGAATTTCTTTATTTGATAAAGACCTTTTTTTTTTTCATTCTTTGACCATTTTAGATGTTGACATTTTCAAAGTAATCTTCACATTATGCCTTGCTAAAGACAACTATATATTTGTGCATACATGAATGTGCACGCCTATCAGAATTTTGAGAAGCACGTACATACTATTAACTGAAAGGGATCCCTTGAAAATATGAAAGCTTTATTTTTAAAATTGACATTACATTAGGAAGACAAAAGAAAAAACAATGTCTTTGAATTACGGAACAGGCAACGAATATTGTAAGCACCACGGCCTGCCGAAAGGACAAAGAAATCTGTCCTGGACAAAGTACAGCCAGCATGCCCTGTGGACACGGACCAGAAAAGGCCAGTCCCTGGAGAAGGACTTCGGCTTGGTAAAGTGGACGGGCAGCTAAAAAGAGGAAGGCTTCCCCAAAATGGGCTGGCACACTGACGACAGTGATGGACTGGCACATGAGGACAATTGGGAGGAGGGGCAGGCCTGGGCAGTGCTTCCTCTGGTGTTCATGGAGTTATTATGAGTCAGAACTGACTTGGTGGCACCTACCAGCCACATTGAAAAAATTGATTGCCAAAGTTTAAATATGCACAAATATTAATAGAATATTAATTTCATACAAGTCATATAGGAACTACGTCCTGGACTACCGTTTTCACATTTTAAATCAATTCCTGCCCCTAACCATTCTACAGAGTGAATCAAAGGAAGTGGGGGGGCGGCGGTGGGGGGGGGGACAAGGAAAGTGTTGAAAATATTAAGTGCTGGCAAGTTAGCAAAGAAGAAAAATATTAAACAAACATAGCAGTAGGAATTTTTGGCAAACTCTGATTTTTCAATCACTCTAACCTAATTACAGCACTGTAATTTGGGAATGTGGAGCCCAAGGGGTATAGTCCTTAACCACAAGGTCAGTTGTTCGAAACCAGCAGCAATTCTGTGAGAGAAAGACTGGGTTTTCTACTCCTGTAAACAGAGTCTCAAAAACCCAGGGGCAGTTCTACTGTGTCCTATAAGGTCACTATGGGTCACAACCAACTCAACGGCCATAAGCAAATCTGGGAATAAGCCACAACATAGTAATAAGGAAATGTGATGCTTGCTACAGTTAGTGGAATGCTTGTTCTTATATTTCAGCAAACAAACCATACATCCAGGTGCATTCTCTGACAACATACACATTTTATAAACCTCAGAGCATGTTTGACTTATAGAACCTCTAACTCCTAGTTCATACATATGCCCCCAAAGACCAGCCTTGGTCGATTCCATACACACACTCAGCTAACCCTGGTCAATCTGTGACTGGAATAAAGGACAAGATTGGAGGGCAGTAATTTGTACATATGGTAGAATCCCAGTTGAAATATAAAAAGTAGAAAAAAGTAAACAATCGGATCACCTGAAGCTGCTTCCAAGTCACTGCTAATTTAAAGTTTCTTCCATAAAGCATGACAAATCATGCCTACCATCTGGAAGTTCTGAAAGTCGTAGACTAGCCGTGTGAGAAGCACAAGCTCCCTCACAACAAGGACTAGAAGGAACGCCCCAGCACTTGGCCTCCAGCATCTTCCCGGCGCTCCAAAGCTCAACTGCCAACTCACTGCCATGCGGTCGATTCCAACCGACAGCGACTGTAGGGCAGGAGAGAACGGCCCCTGTGCTTTTCGGCAGCTTTAAATCTTTATGGTAGTAAAACGCCTCATCTTTCTACCCCAGGGCCGCTGGTGGTTTGGACCTGTTAACGGTGTGGTTCACAGCCAAACTCATAACCACTATGCCACCAGGGCTCCGTCTCCTAATGGCAGTGCGGTAATGAAGCTAGAGAGGTTGAACGCAAAGGTCTTTGGTCAACAAGTCTTTCTGCTAGGTTTGTTTACTAGTGTTCTTTTGGCAGTCCAGTGTGTAACCCACCATTATTGAATGAAGTCGGTCCAGTCAGCCCTGGGAGAGGGAGGCTGTCACACTTGCCCTCCCATCTTCTTTACTTTGGCTCAAATGTGACTGTGGGACTTACAGGCGATGCACCCTGGGCAAGTTGCTAAGCTGTCTGTAAAACAGCTATAATAATAGTATCTACCGCTATGGTTATTTGAGGATTCAATGGGACATCACTAACAAAGCACTTGGCAGAGTGGTCCCTGAATAAATGTTAGCTGTTCTTAATATAATCAGTACTATCGGTTGCTGTTTCCAGGTGCTGTGAAGAGCTCACATGAAGTATGAGATTGGATTCCTCGGTAGACAGATAGAGGTTAAAATTTCCTTTGTAAAGATTCTGCCACGTAAACATTTTTAAAGACAAGCAAAATCCCAGCTTTTACTGCCACCACACTATTTCTTGGCATCACATTCCTTTAATGCCTGACTACATTCATGTACACAGACATTTCAGAATAATTTAAGAACCTACCATCTTACATAACATCTCAGGGTGCTATAAGAAAGAGTTGGTTAAAGAGTTCTCTGAGCATATCACAACCAATGTTACCCATAGGACTATCTCTGCTGATTTTATTGGTGATAATAGCGTATTTGTTCTTTGGGTACAAAGCTATACCCAACCTCTGATTTCTCTAATTTTGCATGTCCATAAAGAAGGGATAAGAAGGATGAACTCTAAAATGAACTGTCTCCGCAGCAAAGGAGAGTCACGTTTAATATGATTGAACCTGAATATGGATAATTCGATTATGAAAAACCCTTTATAGCTGATATTTTATCATTACTTGTAAATCTGAGTATGTCTCATCCACATTTTGTGTTGAAGTCCTGTGCGTTTGATAAAATTCTGGAGTTAAAATGTTTTCTTACCGCACTCTTGGATTCATTTGACATTTTGAAATCTTTTACTCTAAATTGGAATGGCCTGTTCGAGGATGATGAAACATAGTAACGACCAAAGTTTGTCGTTGGCCCTGCCACAGCACAGTAAGTAGGACACTTGCAATCGTTGCTTGTTTTCAAAACAGTTGTACTGGCATGTAATTCACAAACTATGTACTTCAATAGTTCAATCATATTAAAAAGAGTTGTACAATCATCACTGCAATCACTTTTAGAACATTTTTTTTATTCTTGTGCTCATCGTTTTAACCCCCCAGGCCGCCAAATCTTCCCTGCCACAGTGAACTTCAGCATGATGGTAGGATCTTACTCTTTCGACTTCTGTCTTCTCCTTGATTCATGACAAAACTGTGGGGGTTTGTTGTAATGTGAAAAAAACAACAACAACATGTTAATCGGATGATGTTTGGAAGAGTCTGAAAGTCACGTGGCTCAAAGTTGATGATCCTCTGTCAAGCGGAGTGTTGGCAGAAAAGGTTGAAAGGATCATGGCGTCTGTGTTTGCAGAGTAGGTCACTGAAACCCCTGACGGACATCGTCGGCAGTGGACTTCAAAACTCATCCCACACTTTCATAAACTTTTTCTTTAATATATCACTTAATTTTCAAAATCCAATTTGCAATAAAAGTCTCTAAATCTTACTTCAAAGAAATGCCAGAGGAAAAATAAAAATATTGCCAGTGCAAGCGGCCATCGAGCTCAGAAGCAACAAAGCCCACATGGAAGAAGCACACCAGCCTATGCAACCACGAGGTGTCGAAGGGATCAGGTGTAAGGCATCATCAGAACAAAAAATCTTACCATAGTGAATGATGGGGGGAGTGCGGAGTGGAGATCCAAAGCCCATCAGTAGGCCACTGGAGATCCCCTTGCAGAGGGGTCTCGGGGAGGAGATGAGCCAGTCAGGGTGCGATGTAACAATGATGAGATATACAACCTTCCTCTAGTTCCTAAAGGTTTCCTCCCCGCTCCCACTACCATGACTCGAATTCTGTCTTGCAAGACTGGCTAGACCAGAGGAGGTACACTGGTACAGATAGGAACTGAAAATACAGGGAATCCAGGACGGATGAGCCCTATAGGACCAGTGGTGTGAGTGGCAAAACAGGGAGGGTAAAGGGAGAATGGGTAGGAAAGAGGGAACCGATTACATGGAACTGTGTATGACCTCCTCCCTGGGGGACGGACAACCGAAAAGTGGATGAAGGGAGACGTCGGACAGGGCAAGATATGACAAAATACCCATTTATAAACTATCAAGGGCTCATGAGGGAGAGGGGAGGGGGGAGGGAGGGGAAAAATGAGGACCTAATGTCGGGGTTTAAATGGAGAGAAAATGTTTTGAGAAACGATGTACAAATGCGCTTTACACAATTGATGTGTGTATGGATTGCGATAACAGTTGTATGAGCCCCTAATAAAATGTTTAAAATTAAAAAAAGAATTAAAAAAAACAAAACAAAAAAAAATATTGCCAGTGGCAGAAAGAATTGCTTTCACAGGAATGTCCATAAAGACAAGCTTTCTATAAGGACGATACTGAAACTGGCAGTGTTCTGAACTTTCACATTGCTGCTTGGAAAAAACACCAGTTTTCGCTGACGATGCCCGTCAGGGGTTTCAGTGACCTACTCTGCAAACACAGACGCCATGATCCTTTCAACCTTTTCTGCCAACACTCCGCTTGACAGAGGATCATCAACTTTGAGCCACGTGACTTTCAGACTCTTCCAAACATCATCCGATTAACATGTTGTTGTTTTTTTTTTCACATTACAACAAACCCCCACAGTTTTGTCCTGAATCAAGGAGAAGACAGAAGTCGAAAGAGTAAGATCCTACCATCATGCTGAAGTTCACTGTGGCAGGGAAGATTTGGCGGCCTGGGGGGTTAAAACGATGAGCACAAGAATAAAAAAAATGTTCTAAAAGTGATTGCAGTGATGATTGTACAACTCTTTTTAATATGATTGAACTATTGAAGTACATAGTTTGTGAATTACATGCCAGTACAACTGTTTTGAAAACAAGCAACGATTGCAAGTGTCCTACTTACTGTGCTGTGGCAGGGCCAACGACAAACTTTGATCGTTACTATGTTTCATCATCCTCGAAAAGGCCGTTCCAATTTAGAGTAAAAGATTTCAAAATGTCAAATGAATCCAAGAGTGCGGTAAGAAAACATTTTAACTCCAGAATTTTATCAAGCGCACAGGACTTCAACACAAAATGTGGATGAGACATACTCAGATTTACAAGTAATGATAAAATATCAGCTATAAAGGGTTTTTCATAATCAAATTATCCATATCATTCTTCTAGGTCAATAACAGATATAGAAAACTGACCACCCCTCTTTTCTCCTATTCTCTCCCCACATTCGTGTACTTCACTTCATTTGTAACCACACAAAGGCGAATCGGCGGGGAAGCGTGTGAGTGTACAAATCAAGAAACCTGGATCATTGAGACAGCTTAACCACTTAATAATAACTCTGGGTCCCTGAGGAGATCATTTGTTCTCAGAATTATTCAGTTTATTCATCTGCAGAAAATAATACTACCCCAACCTTCCCGGGTTATCATAAGACCAAAGGGAAAAAACTTGAAATTGCTTGAAGACAAAATTTTAAACAAGTACAAATTAGTATAGTTAATTTTTTCACTTAATTTCAGAAACTGTCTAATATACTGGTAGACATGAAGGAATTTAAAAGAAAGTTGTATAAAAATGGAGTTAAAAGATAATGAAATTTTTCAGCAAGTGTTTTGAAGCCCCCTTGTACCTGGATTCCCCAATTTCCCCTCCTTCCTTTTCCTTCCTCAGTCTCATGAGGACGGACTCAGAGGTCCTGTCCCCCTTGCCTGGGTGGCCCTCCAGCAACCAAATTATACCATCCATGAGCCTTCCTGTCATGTTTTAAACGTTTGAAATTCAGCTTGCCTTGCAACTAATGACAATGGGGTGGGGGGGGCACATAAATTATTATTTATGCATTGCATTATAAATGTGTCAGTCCTTTCATGTGTTCATCCAAAATTCTGTTAAGGTGGATGAATTCACTTAAGAAGCAAAATCAGACATTGTCTCTCTGATCTTACAGTGAAGGGTAAAATCTGTGTTCGGCAAGATACAAATCCACTGTTAGATTAAGACTCGGCTCAGCACCCTCACCCCCTACCCTTGTCTGGAATTATATTGCAATGCCATAGGAGGAAAACACTTCAGATGTCAGGTTCATATTTTCAACACACATACACACACAAAAATAATTTAATCCAAATGTTTCTTTTCACCCAAAACAAAAGTCCAAGTTTCAATGGAATATAGAAATAAATCCAACTTGTACTGAATAAGGAAGCTGCCAGTTTAGCCAATGTCTCATATGCATGGCCCGTCAGAAGAAAGGCCTGGCTAGGAAAACTTGGCCATTGACAAGTTGAAAACACGGAGAAGCACAGGCGCCCTTGGACACCGGAGGGTCACCCGGAGTTGGAGTTGAGGAGTTGGCTCCATAGCAACTGGCTGGTATTTATTGAACTCTGGTATTATGGCATGGCAGCTTCAAATCATTCACAATGCTCCCAAGAGCATTGTGAATGGTCAGCAAATTGTATAACTCAGTGTTGTATTATCGGTATATTGATATTCAGCTTGTATTCTCCAAATATTAGTCCTTGCAAAGCTCACTGACTATCACTTTGCAAAGAGTAAATTCAAACTAGGAGTTTCACATATAAAGGAAAGCATATCTCATAAAGCAGTTAATAGCATGGACAGATACCTTCGTTAGGGTAATAGTCATGAAAATTAATAACTAACATCTACCTGTGTTTTATACTCAACATAAAAAATCTGACTTAAACTCAAGTCTAAAATATTTAAAAATTAATAGCAAACATTTTCAGGTGTTTTACTCTATTTTCAAGCCTCTTTTGTTTCTGGAAATCATAGAAAGTGATAGGGTAGCTGGAAGGATGTAACGCTGTAGTTTATGGTACACAGAGGCCGCATCTTTGTACCCCAGAGACAAAGTCAAGGACTGGTTTACAGTGGGACCTCATCAGTATTCATGAGTGCACAAAGATGCTTAGAATCCAGGCATCATTTACTCTAAATAAGTACAGTTGGGAATGAGGTTTACTACGAGACTCAGCATTGGCACTTCCCTCAAAGTGGGAGGTAGGGATGTGGGGGGTGGGCGCCTGGGAATGATAAACTAGGAGAAGTTGCTGGACCTCCGTCTCTAAGTAGTCCTAGTCATTTTTGTCAGTGGTGCCAGACGGGAGGATGTGGCAGAAGGACGGAAAACCCTGTTTGAATTTCTTCTTGGATACATGCTCACCCTTTCCCTATGCCTTTCCTGCTCACAAGGAAGCCCCGCTGGAGTGGTGGGCTGTGGTGGGGTTGCTAACAAAAGATCAGAAACCACAGCTGATCCTCAGGAGAAGGGTGCACAAGTTCCCAAACGGATTTGGCCTACTGCCCCCTTTACCAGAAAAAAAGATGGCTCAGTGCTCCCCTGGCAATTAAAAACTGTTGTGTTATAGTTCATAGACCAAGTGTAGGCATCTGCTTTTGTCGACCCCTGAATCATTCCAGAGCCTCCAGGGTGGTTGAGCTGTCCTAAGGGCTCATTGTGAATCGGTGTAGATACTATGGCT